CCACCCCTCTCCCCGGCTGGAGCGCCGCAGGGCAAGCCCCCCACCCCTCTCCCCCCCGGCTGGAGCACTGGAGCGGGGCAAGCCCCGGACCCCACTCCCCGGTGGGAGCTCGAGGGCCGGATTAAAACATCTGGCAGGCCAGATGCAGCCCCTGGGTCGTAGTTTGCCCGGCCCTGGGCTGGAGGCTGGGTGTGAGCAGCAGGGGAGTGAATCGCCCCAGGCTGAGGGGGACATGGGTCATGGGTCCAGGCTACGCCCTTTGCAGCACGGGAGGAGAAAGAGGAGAAAGAACAAAGGAGCCCCCTTCCCCCTCCCCGCCTGAGAGCTGAGGCTGGGACGTTGGATTAAGCTCGGGCCAAGCGTAATCCAATATCCCAGCCCCAGCTCCCAGAGACCGGGGGTGCGTGTGCCAGGACGCCTGGGTTCAGTGCAGATGGGGGCAGTAGTGGGGCAACTTGTCCAAACAAACAGGCTCTCTGGGGATTTTAAGTTTAGGATCCGGCTTTATTCAGTGCATTGACTTCTGGAAATACATCATGTTAAATCAGGTAGTGCCAGGTGTCAGGGCTCCTGGGTTCTCTCCCTGGCTCTGGGAGGGGAGTGGGGGCTCGTGGGTTAGAGTGGGGGGGCTGGGAGCCAGGACTCCTGGGTTCTCTCCCCGGTTCTGTGAGGGGAGTGGGGGCTGGTGAGTTAGAGCAGGGGGGGCTGGGAGCCCAGACTCCTGGGTTCTGTCCCCATGCTGGAATCTCGGGGGCTGCTGTGGAATACAATAAGACCCAGCGCTGTAACACAGCACATCACAATCTGTGCAGAGACACACCACCCTCCTCCTCCCACTCTGGCTGCAGTGGGCTTTGGGTTGGGCCCTGACTCCCTGGATCTTTGCAAAAGCAGTTCAGCATCGTTATCTTTTGGACACAGATGGGGAAACTGAGGCACGGGTGGGTGGGGGGAGAGGAGAGAGACACACAGACAATGAGGGCATCATTCAGCTGCTGAATGGATCCCCCTGCGGGGGGCAACACAGAGTGGGCGTTAAGAGAGGAATTTCACCGCCAGGAGCCCAGCCAGGCTGGGCAAGATGCTGCCCAGGCCAAAGGGGCCCAGTATCCGCTGAGCGCCGCTGGGCGTGTAACACTCAGTCTGTATTATTTTGTAGGTGAACACTCCTGAATCCAGAATCTCTCCCTTCGTGAGTTCGCAGGCATGCGGGGTGGCACAGCCTTTGGCTGCAAAGGGTATCGTGATGTCATCTGCGCAGAGAAAGAGACGCTGATCAGACACGGGGCGTCCCGGCTCCGCTGAGCCAACATAACCTCCCCCCGCCGCAGCCTGGAACCCCCCCGCCATACATCTTTAGCGCTGAGTGGCACCAAGATGCCAATGGTAATTAGTAGGCTTCAGAGTCAACGGTTTGTTGAGCCACAAAGGGCATGCGTCACCCCCTGGGGGCTGTGGGTTTGGGCCTGCCTGGAGTTCTCTTGGCCCTGGGGGGGAAAAAGGCAAGTTCTTAACTCCCATTAGCTAATGCCTAGTGACATAGGCAGTGGGCCTGTCTGAGTTGCTTCGAATGGAGTATCAAGAACTGGTCGCTGTGACGCTGACAGACCAGGTGCCAGCTCATGTCAGAGCCCCAGGCCACTTTACTGGTGTGTTAGTGTAGGTCAAAGTGCTGGTGGATGGTAGAACAGCGTATTTGGTGTTGAAACTTCATGAAAACGAATGGGGCATTACTGGCATTGTTTGCACTTCTCTGCAAACGTTTCCACCATGTCTACCCTGTAACCAACAGAGACGGGTTAATTCCAAAGCAAGTGGCCACTGCGTGTGAGGATGGGCAGTTAAAGACTCAAAGCGCGGTCCTCGCTCTGTGCCATCGAAGGAAGAGCCCATGGGGGTGGGGACCCTGGCGGCTTGTTCTCTGTGAAGTTTGGCTTCGGGAAAAGCCCCTGCGTCTCTGGCCGGCTTGGCGTCTAACGGGGCGGAATAGCTGGGCGAAAAGACGGAGATTCCCCGGGGTTATTCTGGGCAGCCCTGCGTGACACCTGGGAACCTGGCAGGGGTTACAGACTGACTCACCTGGGCGTATATTGTACCTGCTATAACCTCTCCACGGCTCTCACCTCCTTTTACTAGCTAATAACCCTTTCGGTGGCTTACGACCGAGTTGGCTGCCAGCGTTGCCTTTGATGTGAGATCTAAAGGACCAGCTGAGCTGGGATAAGTGACTGGGAGCAACCTGCTGAGGTGTAAGTGACCATTGAGCACTAAGTGCAGTTTGGTTGGGTGACAAGACAGGACTGGAGCGTCTCAGGGGACGGGCTGTGTCTCCGTGCTGAGCCAGGAAATCCAGCTTGGTGAAATCTAATCGGAGAACACGCCATCCGCTCGGGGGGTCTGTCCTGTGTCTGTCAGTCTGCCCTGAGATAGGCGCTCACGGTCGCGAGCCGCTCCAGACAGCGTGGCAGCCACCTAGCCGGGTAACTGCCCCGGACAGAAGAAAACCCCAACAACCGGGCATTACTTTGTCACGCCTGGCGAGGGGAGAGACGGCATCCACGCGCCAGCAGCCGGGGCCCCGGGGCAGGTCACAGCGGTGAGCGCTCAGCTGCCCAGCGTTGGGGAGCAGCTGGGCCGCACGCCGCATGGTGGACGTCTCTTGTTCTTCTGTCGTCGGCGGTTGCTACTTCAGGCTCATGGGAGGCCAGCGGGAAGCCGGGAGGGCTGGGCTGGACGGGCCCTGGGGACTGCGGGACAGCTGGGGCCGGCTAGCCGAGCTGGCAACGAGCTTTAACCTCGGCCATGCTGCAGAGGCAGATTTTCTGGGGTTGTGGGCCAGAGCAAGTGGGGGCAAGTGTGGGGGGGGCTCACCCCCCCCTTCTGCCTGCGGTCCCACCCCTGTTCTGCCCCTTCCCCCACGGCCCTGCCCCAGTTCCACCCACAGTCCTGTCCCATTCCACCCACCCCATTGCAGCCACTGTTTGCTCCCCCGCCTCCGCGGCCCCAAGACCGGAGATCTGTCCCCCCGCCAGCGCACCTGAGGCTGTGGCAGGGACCAAGAGCTCCTCCAGTTCCCGGGCCAGGGACCAGGGTTGGGGCGTGGGGGTGCCTATTTTCCAGGGGGCCCCAATTGGCTGAGGCCGCCGGGAACAGGCCCTGACGACCCATTGGCTAATCCGCACTGCGGGTAGAGGCGCGGGCTCCCCGGGCTGAGCTGGACAGGTACAGGCGGGGGGCAGGGGGCTCTGTGTGTGGACGGAGCCGGGTTTGGGTTTAAACACGAGTCAGAGCCGTGTCTGCAGGGAGAGGGGGAAGCCGGCTGGCTTTGGAACAGGGGAGCGTGGCCCTGAACTCGCTTGCAAAGGGGTTGGCCCCATAAGGACCCTGGGGCTGAGCCTCGCACAGAGCTGGACCGGGGGTGTAGCCAGCGAAAATGGGCACTGCTGGGGGGCTGCGGGGAATCCGGGCCCCAGGCCGCCCTTTGTCCTAGTGCCGATGGGCCCGGAGAGCCGGGGCCGGAAGGATCCGGGACATGCGCTCACCTTCCGAGATCTGCCCGCTGATGGAAATGCACTGACTGGCGCGGCCCTCGCACTGCAGGGTCTCCTTGCTGGAACAGCTGCTCCGACCCGGGGCAAAGCAGATCGGGCACCAGCCTCCCGTGTAGACGGTGTTGATGATCGGCCCTGCAAGACCCCCAGAGAGCAGGTTGGTGGGGGTTGACAGGGCTGGGCTGGGGACAGATGCCTTCTGTACTTTGTTACCACTTATTTCTAGCACGGCAATAACTGAGATCAGGGACCCCCTTGTGCCAACAGCTGCACAGAGCCCCCCCCCCCCCGCTTGAGATCAGGGTCCCCCGTCGGGAGCTGTACGCCCCCTGCCCCAGAGCAGGGGCCCTGATTGCACTGGGCACTGCATAGATCCCCCCCAGCCTGCTACTGGGAACCCCCCATTTTGCCAGGCACTGCACCCCTCCCCCCCGGAGATCAGGATCCCCCCCATGGCACCAGGTGCTACACGGGACTCCACCCTTCTCCAGGAAAGAACCCTTTTCCGAACCAGTTTGACACTCAGTCGGTGCCCGTGCCGCTGGGAAGAAGCAGGGAGGGATGCAGAGACGTACAGACAGGAGTGAATGCGGTATTGCAGCTGTTCGTAGAGCAGTTCTGGGATTGAATCTTCACGTACACCCCATTCCCGAAGAAGAGGGAGATGTTTCTGGGGTTGGCGGAGGATACACAGGAGAAGGAATAGCCTGTATTTTCCACAGCTCCTGGTTAGAAGCAAAACAGTTACAAAAATTTTTTACAGATGAAACCAGCGCCCCAAGGGCGGGCGATTCCTGGGAGCCACCTCACCCCTTTTCCTGGCGTCCCAGGCCAACAGGGCCCAGTCACGTGTGTTTGATGAAAGCATCTTCCAGGAGGGCAGCCGGCCTGGCCCGGGAGATGCCGAGGGACGGCGCATCCACCACATCCCTGGGGACCTTGTTAACCACCCTCCTCAGCACGTCTAGCACTTATCTGGCGCCCATCACCATGGTATCTGAACCCCTCGTCATCTTTAATGTATTATCCTCACAGCCCCCCTGTGTGGTAGGGCAGGGCTGTCACCCCCGTTGAACAGATGGGGGAAACTGAGGCACAGATCCTCAGCAGTACCTAACTCTTTGAAGCGCTGGGCCTAAGTGGCGTGTCCCAGGTCACACAGGGCAGCTGGCAGACAGGGGACTGGAGCTCAGATGTGTTAAGCCCTCAGCGCGCTCGCCCTGCCACGCCCGCCGCCAGCAAATGAGACTGATGGTGGAAAGTCAGCACCACCCACCTTTGACCAGCGTGTTTGCTTCCCAGACACTGAGGCAGGCGCCTTGACCGACGGGGCAGGGCTGTGCCAGAGCAGGGCAACTACTCACAGAATTTCTCCTGCATTGGTAACAGGACCTAGGATCTGGTGAGGAGGGGGAAAAAAATAAGCGTTTCCATTTTAATTTCTGGTGCCGCCGTTGCCCCTTTCCTGTCTGGTCCCCACAGGCCTAGGGCTCATGAAAGGGGCCTTGGCTGGTTTGATCTCACTCCCCCCCGCTGGCCGGCACGCCCAGGCCGCGCGGTACCCACCCGGGATATGCCCACGACAAGCTAGCAGGCGAAAAGTGGCAGCGTTGATGTGGGCGATGCAGGCTAGCCACCCCAGGACACGCCAGGCTCCCGGGCAGGATCACGCGGCCACTGGGCGCAGCGCCACTTTTAGGGCTTGTCACCCCTGACAAGTTACTGCGCTGAAAGTTTCTCACTCCGGGGTGTGAAGAATCGCAAGAAGTTTCAGTGCGGCTCCCGGCACTCGGAGCTACGCCCCTCGGCGGCTCTCTCCCATGCTGGCCCGTTAAAGCGAAGGGTAGACTTAGCCACTAGCTCGCTCCCAGCTCACGTGGACAGCTCTCCCCACGCTCTAATAGCACCCGGGGGAGCAGCGCCTGGAGCCACTGCCTGGGATCGGGGCCGGCAGCAGCAGGGGGCACCGGCCGGTATCTGCAGCAGTTTGGGGCGCAGAGGGATGTGACCAAGTGGGAATTTAGCTGCTGTTTCTACCATGCTGCTGTGTGCCTCAGTTTCCCTCTGTGCTTCGCAAGGCTGTGCAGGGCATGGAGAGGGCTAAAAAGGGGGAGGGCAGGAGACTTGTGGTGTTTGGGCCACCCAGCCGTCTGGGGCGGGAGGAACGGGTTGCTCTGGGCCGGCTGGCACCAACCCTCGGCAACGGTGGCTCGGGAGAGACAGTGGGACCCGATTGGCCAGGACAGTGCGAAGAGAAAGGAGATTCCCCCTCCTCCAGCTCTCAGCAGGAGAAGGCCCGGAACTAGGGAAGAAAGGGGAAGGGGGCTGGGAGGTGAGCTGCCCTCTGGAGAGACCCACAGTGCCAGGGCAAAGGGGGTAAAGTCCCAGGGCAGCAGGCTGGCCCAGGTGAGCCCTGGCACTGGGTGATCTGAGCCCTGTCTGGACCTTTGCCTCTCTGTGCCAGGCTAAGGACGCTCAGACTGGGCAGCTGATAGAGTCACATTGTTTGGCAAAGGCTGCTGGGGGGTGCCACAGACGGGCCTGGGGCACTAACGGGGTCCCTGCCAGGGGACCGGTGTCAGGCTGGGCACAGCCCGGAACCAGTGACAAGGGTCCAGTTCCTCAAAGCCGAACTCCAGGGCGCGTCGGGCACCCAAATGCTTTGGGGAATGGGGGCCGAGAGCTGGGAACTGACTGATTTGGGGGCCGGCTGGGCTCGGGGCAAATGGGGCGTTTTATACTGGGGAGGGGTCCCTTTTCTGGGGAAGTGACGGCCAAGCGAGGAGCCATCCCCCATCCAACTACCCGGCGGCTCCGTTTCTTCCCCAGTGGTCGGGTCTCTCCCCTCCGCGGCTGAAACAAATTTAGGAAATTACCTGAATTTGCGTTTCTGGGCCACAAATGGTTGCCTGGTCCTAGCAGGAATGGGGATGGGGATCAGAGATGGGGTGATACCCTCCCACCCCTCCACTGAAAGCTTCTTTGTCCTTTGCCCGGCAGTGACGTGTTAACCTGCCTGCTCCTGGCGCAGTCCGGAATCACTCCCTCACCCCGCCCCCCACATTCCCCCTGCCCCTCCCTGAGTCAACCCAGTGCTCCTTAGAACAGTTCCTGCCTCCCCCGGCCAGCTCCCCCCCCCTCGGGCTGTCCCCCACCAGCCCCAGTGACCCCTGTTCCCCAGGAGCCCCCCTCCCCGCCCCTTGTCCAACCCCACTGAGTGTAGATGGAAACTGGGGAAAGTCTGATTTCTCCATCCACCCTTCCCCCCACATGCCTAGCCATCCCTCCGTCCGTCCATCACACCCCACACCCATCCATCCGTCCATCTGTCCGTCCATCCTCCTACACGCCCGCCCTTCCCCCCACATGCCTAGCCATCCGTCCGTCCGTCCATCACACCCCACACCCATCCATCCGTCCATCCGTCCGTCCATCCCCTACACGCCCATCCATCCGTCTGTTCGTCCATCACACCCCACACCCATCCATCCATCCATCCGTCCTCCTACATGCCCGCCCTTCCCCCCACATGCCTATCCATCCATCCGTCCGTCCATCCCCTACACGCCCATCCATCCGTCCATCCATCCTCCTACATGCCCGCCCTTCCCCCCATAAACCCATCCATCCATAATTCCATCTATCTCTCCACCCCCCCCTTGACGCCCATCCATCCATCCGTCCACCTACACACCCACCTTTCCCCCCACACGCCCATCCATCCATCCCCCTACACAACCTCCATGCATCCATCCATTCCCCTACACACCCATCCATCTGTCCCCTACACCTCCATCCATCCATCCCTCCATTCCCCTTCATGACCGTTCATTTCCCCATCCATCCCCCTGCACACCCATCCATTTATCCATCCCCTACACATTCACTCTTCCCCCCACATGCCCACCCATCCCTCTATCCATCTCTCCATCTATCTGTCCCTTACACGCCCCTCCATCCATCCATCCCCCCTACATGCCTGTCCATCCACCCCTTGTCCATCCCTCCATCCATCCCCCTGTATGACTATCCATCTGTCCATCCATCCATCTCTCCCTCCCTCACCACATGCTCCATCCATCCATCTCCCTGCACCCCCATGCATCTATCCATCCATCTGTCCCCACACTCCCTTCTATCCAATGCCCCAACCATCCCCGCACACAGTCCTCCGTCTCCCCACTTCCCAGAGCGGCTGTCCTGTGTCTCGGGGACATGCCAGCGCCACGGCTCCCCCACAAGCCAGAGACATACTTGCTGTTGTCTGGGCATCAGCCGCAGCCAGGAGCGCGGCGAGCAGGCAGAGGACGTGTGGGGCGGGCATGGCGCATGGGTCTCTGATGCCGCTGGCTCCCCTGCCAGGAGGTTTTATGCACAGAGCAGGGAGTGGTGCCGGGACGTGGGAAATCACCGGACGGGATCCCGGAAACACGGGGAATGAAAATACCTCATGTGGCTGCCCATCACCGGGCGCCTCCCAGTCTTTAACGCATCCATCCCCACCATCTCCCGGTGCTGTGATGGGCAAAGTACAAGGACGGGCTCAAACCTGAGGCCTCTGCAGGCCCCAGCGCTCCGGTGAATGGGGGTGGGGTTATTTGCATTCAGGGGCTGAATTGCTGTGGGGTGGGGATGTCAAAGGGGAACAGCTGGGTAAACAGAGGCAGGGCTGAGTACGTGACATGGGGCAGCGAGTGAAAGACGCTGCCTTTATGGGAGTTTTACAGCTAGCCCGATAGTGATGGGTAAAAGTCCAGGTGTCATATATGGCTAGGTTTTTATGGTACATCCCTGCCTGGGCCCCCGGCTCCTGGGTATGGGTCAGAAGCACAGCTTTCCTTTAAAAAAAATAAGAAGGAAATTTCTAGCCTTTGTGGTTGGGGAGAAAAGTGAAAAAAATGTGTGTGACTTACGTTTGCCTGAGTCTGCTGAGAGCCTGAGCCCATTGCTGTGAAGGGAGGAGCTGCTTTGTTCATCTCACTGGGCTGTTAAATCCCAGACCTGTGGGTCTGGAGACCTGTAAGGGTCGGACTCACCCCTGCGGCGCCTCCTGCTGGTCTCTCAGGGAATTAGCTCGATTTCCAGCCCGGAGTGCCCTCTTCAGGCCGGTGATTCGCCTTACTGCTACTGGAAACTGAGGCATGGGGGTGGGGGTGGAACGTGATTTCCCCAAGCAGAGTCCAGAATAGAATCCAGGAGCCCTGACCCCTAACCCCGTGCTCTGAGCCACCAGCCAGCACGGACGTTTGGGCATCTCTAGTCTCTTCTCACCGCTGGCCAACGTCCGCTTTATTCCCCAGGCCTGTTAACGGCCTGCGCCAGACGCACCGCGGCAGCTGGCGGGGGCTCGGGGGCCTCTGCACGAAAACTCTGGTGTCGGGGAAGCCAATACAACGTTCTTTATTGCTCCAGCCAATGGGGCACGGGGAGCTTGGGGGAGGGGAGATTATTCCAGAGAGGCTGCGAACCAGAACGATTGTGTCTCCCTTGGGTTTGCCCAAGACAGGTGCAGGACCTTGTCCCCGGGAGTCTCTCTGGAGGACAGGAGAGGGGCTGCGGTTAGGCCCCCGTCATGGCTGGCTGGCGAGGGGTACCTATCTGACTGACAGAGAGGGATGGCGCGGTCGCTCCAGTTGGGTGGCTTGTCTGCCTCGGTTTCCCCATCTGGAGCGCCCCGATGTCCGGTTAGACTGGAAGCCGTTTGAGGCAGCAGCTGCCTCTCAGTACCCGGCACACCGGGGGCCCCGAGTTTGGGGAGCGGAGTGGGAGTGGGGGCTAGGCGGGGGCAAGGCAGGGAGAGAGGATGCCTGGGTTCCATTGGAATCCTTCACAAACTCAGATAATGCCCTGACCCCGAGGGCTTTGCTACGGGACTCCTAGACCCGGGGGTGACGGGTTCCCTGGAGTGCCACCTGGAATTGGGCTTTACTGCCCAGCTCTCCGGTTTACCAGCCCCCCCCCTCGCAGTGTGACACTGTGACAAGCTGCGAACCCCTCCAGGTCCTGCTCTCACAGCGAGCCCCAGGCAGGGACACTCCCAGCCTAGTTACCCGAGCGCTTCTCCCGGCCACTCATGAGCCAACGGTCGAGAGGCTGCAGCCAGTTCCCCCCCAGCTCCCCAGCCTAGGACCCCAGGGCTGGACCGTCCTGCCCTGAGCAGTGTACAGGTATGATCCAGGCCACCACTTCTACAAGGGAACGTGGACGTGCACCGGGGTTTGTACACTGAGCAGATTCCCCAGGCACCACACGCAAAACCCACCGGTTTCGGTAAAGTATAAAACGGGTGGATTGACGCAGACAGAGCTGTTCAGTGGCTGTACGCAGGGAGTGAGCCGAGCCGAGCCGGTCACCTACGAAATGAAAGGAAAATCACAGTCTGAGTTCTAGAAACCAGCCAGGGTTTGAATGGGGCCGTGTCCCCCTGACGGGATCGCTCCTTGATACCAGGCTGGGATTCTCCTTTGCAGCCCGGGACCCGCTCCCCCGGTCAGTCTTTGTCCTCCAGATGTGTTCCCAGGTGTTGTGTTGTGGGGGGAGGGAGGACAGGGGATGACATCACTTCCCCCCTTTACAGGTTCCTCCAGCTGGCTGGAAAGAGCTTTTGCTGTGACCATAGGCACCGACTCCGTGGGTGCTCCGGGGCTGGAGCACCCACGGGGAAAAATTGATGGGTGCTCTGCACCCACTGGCAGCCAAGCTCCCCGCCCCGCTCCCCCTCCCCAGCTCACCTCCGCCTCCGCCTCCTCCCCTGAGCGCGCTGCATCCCTGCTTCTCCTCCCAGGCTTGCCGCCGCAAAACAGCTGTTTCGCGGCGTAACAAGCTGTGGGGGGAGGGGAGAGGAGCGGGAACACAGTGCGCTCAGGGGAGGAGGCAGGGATTTGGGGAAGGGGTCCTATGGGGGCGGAGTTGGGACAGGAACTTTGGGGAAGGGGTTGGAATGGAGGCAGGGCAGGGATGGGAGGGGGTAGGGCAGGGATGGAGTCGGGGCGGGGCCAGGGGCGGGGGGGCGCGAGCACCTACCGGCGCCAAGAGAAGTTGGCGCCTATGGCTATGACGTGAGTCAAGCAGCCTCCATTGTCTCTCTGCTCCCTCCCAGAGGTCTCCATTGTATCCAGTTCCTGGGGTCGTCCTTGGGAGTGTGGATTCCCTCAGCACTGTCTGGCTGCGCCACTGTTGTACCTGAACGGCTGGTTGTGGGTGTCCCCAACCTCACCACATATTTCAGTAACACTCACCCAGCAAAACACCATAGCTCCCCATTCAATGCCAGCCCATCCAATCCAACAGGATATTAGTGTTCCACAGATCCAGACTTCGACAATGATCCCTCACAAGGCAGACTGCGTACAAGACACATCATAATCCTGTCACCATAATCTAACACCCCAGGGTGTTGCTCTGGGGTGCAGAGTGTCACACCTCCCCCCTTAGTTTCCTGCAGGAGCGTTAGTCACTGATTAATGCAGAGGCCTTGGGCCCGGGTTTCTCTTTTGGTCTTAGCGTCCAACTTCCAAGCATTGCTGTACATTGTAGTGTTACCCACACGAGCTCTTGCAAACTTCTGTGTCCCCGTTAACGCTTTGTGGCTCAGTTTAGTGATCTCAGAAGCAAGCCGGTGTGCCTCCTCTGGGTTGCTAGAAAACATCTCCTTGTATCCGTGCAGCATTGTTAACCGACCACTGTGCTTTTCCAACGGGTGTTAACTCAGTGGAGATATGAAAGTTTTCTAGAGTGTAGGTATCTTGACATTTAGCCATCAATGCCATGAGGCGGTGTGCCTCGGTTTCCCCTTCCACCCCGCCAGGTTTATTATGGTTTTTCTGCTGTGCCAAGCCTCAAGTCTGCTTACAGGTATCAGCTGAGAAGCTGTATTTCCACAGGGTCTCTGCACCAGGGCATGTTCTTATTTACATTCCTAGCGTGTCCAAAAGCTTTTCCCCAAAATCATGCACGTTGCACCTTTCCATAGGACTTACCACGAGCACCAAATTCCTTGTTGTAAGATTTACTATTAACATCTAATGTTTTACCATGAGATTTAACAGTAACACCTTATCTTTTATTACAGGTGGGCGTTTCCAAGTAGCTTTCTCATACCACGTCTTCTGTTTAGACAGTATAGTTTATTGTTTGTTCAATACCCATTGTGTCTTTCAGTTCCTTCCTGAACCTTCACATGTGTTCAGTTCCTGGTTTGTATTTCCCTTCAGTGGGGAGCTCAGTCCCACCATGTCTTTGGGGTTTTGGCACTCCAGGGGCTGCTGAGTCAGGATGTCGGGGCTTGGCATGTTGGCTGGCCCTCTGTGGAGCTGCTTCTCAACCCCATGGTTATGCCCAGGCAAAAAATCCACCCGCCTCATGGGTTACCCTGTGATCCTCACCCCCAGCACTGGGACCTTCCCCGGCCCCGTCTCCCAGAGGGTTGTGAGCGGTGCTCTCTGGGCTAAGAGGCATTTCCCCCAGCAGCTCTTCCACAGCTGCTATTGTGTGTCTTCCTCCCCTCTGTCGGTAGGATCTGCCTCCTGTCTTAAAGAGACAGAGGGCTTGTCTACCCGGGCACTTTACAGCGCTGCACCTTTCTCACTCGGGGTGTGTGTGTGTGTGTGTGTGTGTGAAAACACCCCCCTGAGTGCAGCAAGTTTCAGCGCTGTAACGTGCCAGTGTAGACAGTGCACCGGCGCCGGGAGCTACGCCCCTAGTGGGGGTGGTTTTCCCAGCGCTCTGCCGTGACTACACAAGCCACGTTAAAGCGCTTCCGTGACAGGGCTTTAGCGTTACCAGTGTAGACAAGCCCAGAGTTCGTTTTCACAAGCCATCAGGAACAGCCTCCTGAAAACCTGGTACCCGGAGTGGGGTACCCTCCGTCACCCCTCTCTCTATCCCTGAATTGTGTGACAGCTCCCCTCCGGGAGGTCAGTTACACAGTTCCCACTGTTCCTTCCCCAGTTTCCTCCTCTGGGGTCCCCTCTAAGACACACACCTCTGTGCTCCCTAGAGTGGGCTCTATTCTCTGTTCAGCTGGGCAGGCCTCACCGCTAACAGCCGGGACAGCTGTTTCACTGCCAGGTGCTACACCCCTCCCCTCCTGAGGTGTTGTTGCCTCCAGCTGCAGGGCAGGAGCTGGTCTCAACCACCCCCAGCACTGGAAGCAGGCCGCTCCCCCCAGCTGCAGAGGAATCAATGAGACTCCCTCCCATTCGTTCAGCAGTTCCCGGGACCTTGCCCTTTCCCTCTGCGGTCCCAGCAGAACGCTCCTCCTTGGGGCAGGCCGACCCCTAACAGCCCGAGAGACGAGGAAGAAATCGTTACCGATTAGCATAT